AGGGAGCAGTAGACCTTTCCAGTGACTGGGCAGCCAAGTGCTGCTGGACCATTCAGGGGCAGCTGGGTTACATGAGCAGCTAGGAATAAAAGCAAGCTGCTCCTAACAGTTGGGAGCGTCTAATTTTATCCCACTGTCAGTGCTGCTGCTTGCTCCCATTGAAAGGAAGAGAAGAATGAACATTCTCCGGTCGCCCCACTGTGTCAGGTCAGGGTAGGGTGGCTTCTGCAGATACGACCTGTGCAGTCACTCGGAGCTCTGTGTCAGGAGGCCCGGCACTTGCTTTCCTGTTCTGCTGTCACCATCTTGAAACTCTTTAGTAATTTGTGAACAAGAGGCCCTGTGATTTCATTTTGCATCTGGCCCTGTAAATTATGTAGCCGTAATCTACACAGTCTGCTTCCCATGGATCATCTCACTTAACCGTTGTAAAAGTCCTCTGAGGGATGAGCTTATCTTCTGCTCTCTTGGTACAGGAGAGACCAGAGTCTCAGAGACAGGCAGTCACTTGCCTGAAGTCACACAACTAGAAAGGCCTGAGCCAGAATTTGTAGTCGGGTCTGCCTGACTCTGGGGTGCAGGGTGTTGGTAGCCCTGAGAAGTTTGGGGGATGCTCTGGTCTCTGGGGACCTTGGCACGAGGAAGATTGTCAGGACTAAAGGTACAGGAGGAAAGAGAAAGATTGTATACCCATCCCAGGCGGCACATTGTATGTTCCTAGTAGTTTCTCGTAGTTCACTGTTTTATCGCACTTTCTTCTTTGAGGGCCTGCTGGGCCACAGATTGAGTCGGACAGCAGGACAAGCGTTTCTTCTGTAGGAGGCAAGAGTGGGGTGCGCTGGTACCTCCGGGCAGACTTTGAGATTCTGGCCCCGGGCCAGACGTCTCCCCTGCAGCCCCCGGTGTTCGCGCCCAGCGTGTCTGAGGTTCTGTGTGATGGCCGCGTGCGCCCTGGTGCTGTGCTAGGCTGTTGATGGAGAGGGTAGTGACGGCGATAATTAGGGGTATTGTGTGCGGTGAGGGGATGACGGTCACCACCAGGAGCAACAGTGACCAGGGTCTTAGGAGTGCCAGGCGGCCTTCTGAGTGTTTTATATGTACTCACTCATTGAATGCCCACAGCCCTACAACGTGGTCGGCCTTGTGACAATGTCCACTTACAGATGAGGACCCTGAAGCACAGAGAGGTTAAGTAACTTGCCTGGAGTTACACAGCGAGTACGAGAGAGAGCACTCCCTATACAGATGGAAGTCAGTCCCATGTTTGGGGACCTTAGTAATAAAAGAGCAATGACAGCTGAGTGCAGTGTGTGCAGTAAGAGAAACGCAGGAGGACGACAACAGTGACAGCGTTCACAGAGCAGTGCCTCAGTGCCAGGCTCAGTTCTGAGCAGTCTCCTCCCATTGCATTTTCCCACATGCCTGCAAAGTAGGTTCTTTTTTCCCATGTTATGGATGAAGATCTCCAGGCCCAGACTGATTGAACGTTTTGGCTAAAGGTCACACAGAAAGTGACAGGACCAAGATTTGAACCTGTGATCTTCCCTCTGCCCTCCAGAGATAACACAGACCAGGGCTGGGGAGGCCTCACAGAGAAGGCAGCACCCGAACCAGATGGAAGAATCAGTAGGAGCTTCTGGGGGAGGGAAGAGAATGCATTCCTGGCAATGGGATGTGCGCAGACAAAGGCAGAGTGGCAGAACTGTGGCCCAGGTGGTCGCTGGTTGGCTGGTGTGGCTGGAGCGCAGTGGTGGGAGCGCCAGGAGAGGACAGGGCGGGTGGAAGGCCCCACTCAACGAAGAGCGGCCTTGCTGTCCCTGGGGGCGGTGGTATTCCTCGGGAGAGTGGCAGGAGCCGGGGGACTGAATGACACTTAGGTTACAGGTGCCATGAAGACATGAATTTGAAAATGAAATCGACTTTTTCATTCCCCACATGGAAATCCAGTAGCATTCACATCTTTGCCTGGCCTTTATGTGAAAGACCTGGGCAAGGCCATCTGCCTGCAGTTAGTCAAGGTCGAGAGCGAACTGCTGTCAGAATAACTTCCTTAGGTCTCTCGCTCACACTGCACGTTGGTGCCGACACATCCAGCCCCTTAGCCTCTGCAGACCTTCATTCTGTCCTCTGACAATGACGAGTACACATTGGTGGTTCACAGTCTTACCTGCGGGAACTCTCTGAGAATCTGTTGACGACTTTCACCCTCAGCTTTGTGGAAGCGGGGGAGGGGGAGGGACAGACATAATCGCCAATGGACAGGGTTTCAGGGACACTGTAATGTGCCACACACCCTCCCAACCAGACCATCGCTCCTAAAGACCCTCCAAGGCCCAGAAATTCTGGAGCGGCCACTGTTGACTGGTTTTAGGGTGACAGATTTCCTGGAGCTGCTGTTTCAAGTGACTGTGGAGAGACCAGTATAAAGGGACTATTTTGGCCAAGAGTCCTTTTCAGTGGTAAGATGAGTAGGATGCGGAGTTTGCATTCTGCCTCCTCCCCTACCTGTCTACTCAGCAGTAGCCCCAGAAGACATCAGTTTCTGTAAGGAGGTGGGAAATAAGACAGTGTGACGCAAGGGCCTGACAGGGTGGGTTCTGAGTTCATTGGATGTGTGGCATTTAATGGCAACCCTTTGCCCTACTTTCTGTTAGCAGGACCTCCAGGTCTTTGAGATACTTGCCTGGCTGGGCTGCCCCCTGCTGGAGCCCTGCAAAATTATTCTCATTTGCAACTGATGGCTCTGGCTGGTCCCCAGAGCTTTGCTATTAAAGCTTTACATCGAGGGAGAGAATACATGTCTTACCTTGTCTGCCTGGGTGTGCATCCCTGCAGTAACTTCCATTGTCCTTGGGACTAAAGCCTGTTCTTATCCAGCAACAACCCCCCAGCTGAGGTGGCCTCTGACTCTCCAGTTTGTTCCCCCCACCTCCTCATTCTCACACTCCTGCTGCTTTAGTGCTCTCTGCTCAGAACGCCACCTGGCTTGTGCCCCTTCATCCTCCAGGTCTCGCCCTGATGTCAGGGAGCCCCTCCGGAATCCCTGCACAGCCTTTTCCCATTCCCTTTATGCCTGTCGTGGCGTCACGTTCATTTCCTCCTAATTATTTGTTCTTTTGAGTGCCTCTGCCCCTTTAAATCATTCCTGCCCCATCCCCCGCCTCTCCATAGAGTCATTCTGGTGCATCCCCAGCCCCTGTACCATGCCTGGCACACAATAGGGCTTGGCAAATACAGGGCAGACCTCATTTGGGGTGACTTGCTTTATTGCACTTCACAGATGTTACTTTTTTTACAAACTGAAGACAAGACCCTCCACCAGCAGAAAGATTATGACTCGTTTTATTGTGATACTTCCTTTATTTTGGTGGGCTGGACCAAACCCATCATATGTCCCAGGTATGCCAGTAGCTATCTAACAAATTGGCTGTCACTGTGAGGAAGGCACTTTATAAACCATGTAGTGCTCTCTTGTTTTTAGTCAGAGTGTGCCTCACCTGCCTCCTTCTGTCTTCTTACCTGTGAGCCTGGCATATATCTGGCCCTGCTTGGTTCATGGGGCCCTGCATGGATCAAAGAAGGTAATCAACACCAGCAGCGTTTGAGGAAACCCAGTGAAACGCACTGTAACACATTACTTGGGAGCCTTGCCTCTTTAAAATCTACTCCCAAGGCCACTTCTTTCCTGCTCAGTCCACCTTCTCTCACTTGGAAACTCAGCCTGATTAGCCAGCCCCTCCTTTAGTCCATCCTGCAGAGGGACTCGTGCTGGCTGAACGCTGGCCTCATTTTTGCAGAGCACGAGGGATCTCGCGGAGCCCACGTCAGCCTGCTTCCAGCTTTGGATTTTTGAAGGGGCTTCTCCTCCTGTCACAGTTGACCTTTGCTTTCTTGCCACCTGCCTCCCATGATCGCCTCTGCCCACATTTGCTCTTCCCAGCCCCGTACCACACCCGAGCTCTGGTTGGGCCACTTGGAGATTTCTAGGCATCTACCCTACGTGAGGAGAGAGGGAGATCAGGGTCTGCCCCCAGGCTCTGAGGCCTGAGACACAGAGGGAGAAGCTGCTCGGATAAGAGGTAGCAGTGGGCCTGAGAGGATCCTGAGCCGGTTCTCAGCCTCGCCGTCAACCCCTCCACTGACTGCTGTTTCTAGACCGATGTGGGCTTTGGGGAGGCGGGGGCTGCAGGCAGAGTGAGGCGTGGCTTCCTGTCTTTGGTCGTCTTAGAGGTTTTAGGAGGGTGGAGGTGGGGGATAATTAAATCAAAGGAAACGCTGTAGAACCAGATTTGGAGAGAAACAGGCTCTCCAGGGATCTGGGTGCTGAGAACTGATGGGCCGCCATGTGGGTGCTCCTGCTGGGCTGGGCGGCTGTCCTCAGCCGGGACACTGGGAATCCCCGTGTTTGGGTGATTGCTTCACCATGACTATGTCAGGGAGAGGCAGTTCCCCAAAGCAGAACTGGGGTGCAGTTACCAGGGGAAGGGTAGTGGCTGCTAAGCTCACGAAGAATAAACATAACCGTTGTCTTCAGATCTGATTAACAGCAAAACCCACCATGCCATCTCTCCTGCCCAGGTACTCACAAGTCCACCGGCGGGGGGGGGGGGGGGGGCTGCCCTTTCCAGAGCTAGTGTGCCGCTGCTTCAGGCTGAGTGCGTTTCCTCCCTGTGTCCAGGGGCGGCTCCGGCTCAGTGATGTTCCTGCAGTGAGGCTGGACGTCTGTCTGCTGCACAGCTCTCTTTAAAAAACATCTTGAACTCTTCCTGCAAGTCCCTCCCATTGGAGGTGCCGAGTGCAGCCTGCACAAAAGGCCCTGTTTGGGCTGGGACTCAGGAGGAAATGGTGTGGGCTGCAGATTGCCCCCTGTCATCCACTGGACAGTCGGAGTGGGAGCCCAGCTGTCTGTAGACACCCAGACTGGAGCAGAAGTCTGGGTCACACTGGCTCCCGGTCTCTGCCGGCCTCTGCCCTCTAACTGCCATGGTTTCTCTTTGCAGCAGAAAAGAACACCTCTGGGATGATAGGCCGCCCTTCTCCAGGGAGGATGGAGTGGATCATCCCTCTGATTGTGGTATCAGCCTTGACCTTCGTGTGCCTCATCCTTCTCATCGCTGTGCTAGTTTACTGGAGGTGAGTAAGTCAGGCAGCACCTATGTGGGGGCGTGGGGGAGGGTGTTCTGCTAGAAGCATAATGCCCTGAGGGGTGCTGACGGTAGCAGAAGCCTGTGGCCCCTTTATTGTGAAAGGTAAGGCAGCAGAAGTGTCTCTAGTGTCAACACCTGGGACATTTGCTTGTATCTGGAAGAAGCCTGTGGGTAGAACCACTATTGAGATCAAGGCATCTATGAAAACCTTCTGGGATTTAGTGTCAAAGAGTCTTATGCGCAGGAGCCAGGGAGACCCAGGTTCAAATCTCAGCCCTGCTACTTGCCGGATGCAAATCCCACTTCTGCTTTGAGCTTTAGTGTCTAAACTTAGTTTCTCTGAGACTATGCTTCACTTTGTTATAGCCACATAAGAACTCCTCTTTACCTTAATTATTTTATACCTTGTTGCAAATTGATTGATAGGAACACATTTAGCATATTATGTAGCATTTGATATATGTAAGATAAAAATGGCTGACATTAAGCCATCCTTATATCACCGTTGTCCTGAGCTGATTCTCACTGCTTCCCAGGAGAAGCCTGCTGGCAGCTTCCCGGGAAACACTTGAAATTCTGTGTTTTCTCAACTACCCTCTCAGCCAGTTCAGCTGAGTGAGGCAGGTGGCCCACTTGGTTGGTTTGGCTGCTTGCAGCTCTCAGATGAATGTAGGCTTCTGCCCTTTATCTAACAAGCTTCATCAGTGCTGAACAGATGTCATATTTCCATCCCTCCCTTCTTTCTGTTCATTCAGTCCATTTTGAGCCCCTGCTGTGTGCCCAACACTCTTCTAGGTGATATAAAAGAGCAAATTAGACAAAATCCCCGCTCTCATGGGGCTTACATTTTAGTGAGGGAGACAGGCAATAAACAAAGCTAGTAAGTAAAATGTGTAACACCTAAGATGATATTGAGGGTAATGGAGAAAACAAAATCTGGAAAGGGAAGGGCATGCTGGGGCATAGCCACGAGTGTTCAGAGTAGTAAGGAAGGCCTAACTGGCAAGCAGTATTTGAGCAGAGACCTAAAGGAGGGAGAGAGTCAAATGCGCATTGCAAACAATGAAAACAGCATGTGCAAAAGCCCTGAGGCAGGAGCGATCCTGGCCTGTTCTAGGAATAGCAAGGAAATCATGTGGCTGGAGCATATGAGAATGGGGAGAGTGGTAGGAGAGGGTGTCAGGAAGAAATGGGACAGAGGGGAGTCAGGTCATGTGTAGCCTTGTGGGCCACTGCAAACACATTGCCATTTACTCTTAGGATAAGTATGGTTTGGTACATGAGAGTGTTGTGATCTGATTCTAGTATTACATGGCTGCTGTGTTGCAAAGAGACTGAGTTGGAACCAGGGCAGCAGTGGAGAGACAAGCTGGGAGACTGGTAAATTAGTCCAAGGAGGAAGCGATGGAGGCTTAGATGAGGGTAGCAGTACAGGTGATGGAAATTGATTGAAGATCAGCAGAAGCTGCTGACGGATTGATCTTGCCTCCTCAGGTCTGCTCTCAACTGGATAGAACAAGAGAATAGGACGGAGTCATCTCAGGATTCCCTAGGCATCTAACAGGAACTGTAGCACTGTTAATGCTACAGAACAGTCAGATTGTGAATTACATCGTGTTTTGGAGTGAGCCTAGGAGCACTAGAGTCACCTCTATGTTATCCCTTCCCCAGAACAAAGTGGTTTGCAAACAAGTATTTGGAGCCCATTGTTAAATTGGAGGCTGCTAGTGTGAGTTTAAGTAAGCCCGTGGAAGTAATGAAAGGTCTACATGAGCATATCTTGTCACTGCTCTTGGCTCTGCTCAGTGCTGTGTAGCTTCAGCCTCAGGCTCCCCACGCAGAAGCAGAGGGGCCCACAGCTGCCCCTGGCTGGGTGATCCTAGCTTAGCAGCCTAAATATTACAAAGTTCATATTCCAAGCAGTTCTGGCAGAAACCTCAGGATTATTTCTGATTGGCCACCTTGGTCCTCTGCCCACCCCAAAACGGATCTCTGTGGCTGAGGATACTGCAAGTTCACTGCAAGCTGCTTTTAGGAAGGGGCTGTGAAATGTGCTAAAGAGAGCTTAGGATCTTTCCATTCAAGATGTATTTCCTCATTAGAAAATGACAACTGTTTATATTTTGTTTTATACGTATACATAAGTATATGTGATTTAAAATAACCAGAGCTGTAAACATCATCCAATAGACTCAGCCAGTGAGCTTTTATCAAACTCCTAGTGCCAGAGCACAAAGTGAGTGAGAAGGAGAAAATTCCTACGTAGCAAGGAAAGCAAAACTGAATTGGCGTTCGCATGGAGGAGAACAGCCTAGAGGGGACAAGAACCTTTTTTCCATCCAACTTTTTTTCTTTTCATTAATGTGAAAGAAGGAAGCATTGGGAGCTCACACAGAAAGTGGGTAACTGCAGAAGACACGTGTGCTTCCCTGTGGTGATGCGGCTTTGAAGTGAGGACGATGGCGCATATTGTGGCCATTTGAGGCTCAGTGAGAGTGGGTGGCTGGTGAACAGACCTAACATAAGTAGAGCCCTGAGGCAGATCAGAACCTTCTAGATTGTTTCCTTGGTTGGCAGACCTGGCACCAGGGACTGAAACCAGCTCGCTGTGGTGGCAGTTTCTACAACCAGGGACTGACCATTTGCAGCTAGTGTTCTGGTTTCTGAGTGTGTTCACTTAGAGTTGGTAACACTGCAATTTCATGGGTTCATGCAATAGTAGAAAATGAAACCAGATGTCTCTGAATTCTGTTTCTCCACTAGGCTTCCATTATACGACACTGTTAGTGCTTTGAATGTCTACCCAGTTCTTGTGTAGTACCAGGCACTGAGCCAAGCACTTGGGTGGCAGCATCTCGTGTTATTCTTACAACAGATATGTATGGTAGGACTATTGCTCTCCCCATGTAAAACTTAGGAGACCAGAAGCTCATGGAGGTCAAGTGACTTGCCCAGGGTCCTGCAGGAAGTGGTGGACCTGGTTTTGAACACTGGACGTCCTCACTCAAGGACACAAAGTTTATGTAATTAAGCATCAGGATGTAGGCCTCACACCTACATACTCTGAAGGCTGAGCATGAAGGCTGAGTGTGATTGATGGTAATTGTGTGAGATGGAGTGAGGATTATAGGGCCATGTGCCAGTGTCTTACAGTCAGATTTACCTGCTTCCTTTGACCAGCGAAGGGAAAGTAAATTAACATTTGTTGAACACCAACTGGGCTGAGCAGTGAACAGAATTTTCATCCCCAGTGTTGGTCAGAACCATTTCTGTTGCAGTTAACAAACATCTATTGGGTTGGCCAAAAAGTTGGTTTGGTTTGTTTTCCATGAGATGGTTCTAGTAGCACTTAGTTGTCTTTAACTTCATTCAAGACAATTTTGTTAGATTGCATTTTGATGGCTGTCATATCAGCATGCATTTAAAAAAAACTTAGCAAATTGGTGAATTTTTTGTAGCCATTTTAACATTGAAGATGGGAGAAAATAAATAACATTCTCAGCATATTATTCTTTATTATTTCAAGAAAGATAAAAACTCAACTGAAACATAAAGAAAGATTTGTGCAATGTATGGAAAAGGTGCTGTGACTGATCAAACATGTGAAAAGTGGCTTGCAAAGTTTTGTGCTGGAGACGTCTTGCTGAACGGTGCTCCACGGTTCAGTAGACCAGTTGAAATTCATGACGATCAAATTGAGACATTGAGAACAGTCAGCGTTATACCACAGGGGACATAGCCGGCATCCTCAAAATACCCAAATCAATAAAGTTATTGGTGAAAATGAAAAATTTGTCTTTTATTTTACGGAAAAAAACTTAAACGGACTTCTTGGCCAGCCCAATATATCAAACTACCTTAAACACAAGAAGAAGAAAAATTGTAATTCATAGAATTGAAACATTCAGGAGCCTCAGGCCCAGCTGGACTCAGAAGGTAGAACAAGGACAGCAGGACTCTCGTTCTGTCTCCATTTCCTCACTTGATCTGGGTTCTGCTCTCTGTGTGGTCTGTCATGCAGGTGGCCCTCTGGCTGGGCGTAAGTCCCAGCGCGTGCCCCTGGCCTGTGTTGGATTTACACTCCCCCATCCCAGTGGAAAGGGAGTTTCTTTTAACGTCCCCGTTAGTTTAAAGATTGTGTCTTTGAGGATTGACTCATGCTATGGACTAGAAAAACCAGGGCCATTTTCAATGCCATCCTAACTGCAGGGTAAGAAAGTGCAGACCGCAGTTTTGAAGTGTTGAGTTGTATAAAATTATAAAGCTGTTGCTACTATTGCGTGGGCATCAAACCCGCTGCAGCTTTATGCTATTCATGCGGTGCTTATGGAGCACCTGCCAGCACTGTGCCGGGCCTGGTGACTCAGGACTGAGGTTCTTTCCCTCAGGGCCCTTGCAGTTCAGTGGCAGAGCCAGAGGAGGAAATATAACATAATAGGGCAAGGAGAGTGTTTTGAAAGGAGTAAGTCCAAGTTGCTATGACAGCGCATTGGGCTTCAGCCAGGTCTGGGAGCAGGGGTGGGGCCCAGGAGAGCTCCCTGGAGGGTCTAATGCCCAGACTGGGTCTTGAAGCACAAAGCTATAAGCCGGTGCAGGCGGTGTACAAGCAGCCCCTGGAGAGATACAGCCTGGCCTGTTATAAGCAGGTACTTTTGGTGCAGCATCACAGGAGCCAAGTGTGGGGACAGCAAGAGCCAGGTCATGAAGGCTGTGGAGCCACCTGCAGGGATACATGCCTTATCCTTAGGATGATGAGAAGGCATTGAAGGAGCGAAAGCTGCAGGGGGGCACAGGGAGAAGGAGGCACAGGGCCCAGAGGCGGACAGTCAGCGTTTGGAGCCCAGCTCCCCACTCACCTACTACCCTGTCACCTTGGAACACATATTAACAGGATTGCACTCATCCCCAGAGGGTAAAATGGGTTCTTGCGAGGTAAAAATTGCTACCCTCTTTGTGTATAAAGCACAGCTATACATAGATGTGTAG